TGTTAATGGCTTTTAATATGCATGAGTTTTTCCATCTTGACGGTAAGCCTGAGTATGTGGCGTCATACAATACGGTGATCCGGGGTGGATACAAGCGGCGTCTTGTACTTACTGTGGGGTTGTAGACGTACATCCTGCATTTCTCTAGCCAGTAGATTAGTATTGACACAGATGACATGATTATCTGCTGCATTGCACTGATTTAGAACTGATGATGATAAACTGCTTTTGAACTTATATTGCACATGTAAGTGAGCTTGGGGTGGAAGATCCTTGAGGACCCCATGTCTTACTGAGATTTCTTATTTAGAGATCTCACCCCACGTTTGGGGAACGCTTATTTCAGGTTCAGGTAGTATGGTGACTGATGCCTCTAGCGGCAGGAGACCAGAGCTTAGTTGATGATTTTACTGCTTAATTGCTAGCATGACTGGGCTGGATGCTGTTTATGTTTTCGCATTATTATTATTATGTTGTTGATGTTGAGACTTATGTTGGGCTTTGTTGCCTTATTTGGGTGAGCATGGGAGTTGTCCATGCCACTATGTTGTTAGTACTTTTGAGTTGAGTTGTATAAACTGATAGTTGGTCCGGTCTACGTGTTGTAGTTCCGTGACTAGAGACATACTTTATGTTGTTTTAATTAATGAGGTATTTCAGTTAGCTGTTTTAATGCAATTGCATACAGGCGATGTTTTATTAATTGGTTAATAACCAAGTTGGTAATGATAATAACGTCATAATTGAAAAGAAAAAGATATTCCGTATTTTTAATTAAGCGCAGCTTAATACGATAGTATGATAACATTACTGGATATATACGAGGTGTTACAAAAGTGTATGAGACTCATTTTTTTCCTCTTCACATGGCCCTACATGACCAATATGTACTAGGAGATAAAATTATCTCATATAAAATGAGAAATATATATACATACACATATATATATATATATAGGGAAAAGTATTTCTACAGCCACTTTAGACAAGGTTATCTACAGCTACCCTTTTTTAACTAAATATGACCGATCATACATAGTTATAACAATAAAGCTGTTCTTTTTTTCTCTCTCCTCAGACACTGTCGGTTGACGTGACGGAGAGAGAAAATACAATTTTTATGTATGACCGGTCATACTTAGTTCAAAAAGGGTAGCTGTAGATAACCTTATCTAAAGTGACTATAGAAATATTTTTCCCATATATATAAGGAAAGTTATACTTACAATCTATTTTCGTTTACAACTTCTTACAACCATATCTTAACCGTTGATTTTCGTCAATCAACAATTATCATTTATTATGAATTAATAATTAATTAATAAGTTTGATTTGTGAAAATAATAATAATTGATTAGTAGGAATTAACGGTTAAGATATAATTGTAAACGAAATTAGGTTGTAAGTATACCGTTGATATATATATATATATATATATATATATATATATATATACCAGAAAATCTTTTAATTTCGATGTAAACAATACAAAAATCTTTACTTCTCTTTCAATTATTAATTTAGATATATTTAACGGTTATAATTTATTATAAATTAATAATATAATTCAACAAATTAGAACCAAATACATATATCAATGAATTAGATATACATAATTTTCTCAATGGAGTGATTATACTCTATATACTCCTTGGAAATTATTCTTCTTAGATCATCTCTTTTGTTCATTCTTGCTGCATCCCCCCCCCCCCCCCCCGCGGGGGGTCTTTTTTGCGTAATGCAGAAACTCCTATTCTATTCAGTGGCTAGGGGTGTAAATAGGTTAGACTAGGCTTTGGCTTAAATAGGTCAGGCCTGTGCAAAAACATTGAGTATGACCTGGCCTATTAGCCTGTGTAGGACACAAATTACAAGTTTGATCTGACCTATATTTAAAAAATAAAAGCCATGGCCTAGGCCTGTTAACCTGTTTAAGCCTATTAAACATTTAACAATTAAAACAATAACTAAAATAATATTATTTTATTATTCAAAATTATTAAAATAAGAATTTTATTTATTATATTTTAAATAAATAATATGATATAAGCTGGCCTGTAGTCTTATAGGCCCGACATGTACAAAAAAGCCTATGGCCTATTTTCTAAATAGTTTTTTTTAAAGCCTAGGCCTAACATAGGCTAGGCCATAGGCCTCTAGGCCTGCCTAGCCTATTTACATCCCTTGCTGTGTGTTGCGAATTCGGCAAGTATACTGTTCGTTTCAAGTAATAAAGTGATAAGTAAGATATCGTTCCCTCGAGGATTAATGCACCAAGTATTAATTCAACTATTCCCCTTTAAGTTGGAAAAGAAAATTTGTTTGTATTGTAAAAGTAATTAATTTTTGGGATTTTTAAAACAGAATTTAAAAACAAATAGATTTAAAAACAGAAAATTAAAAACAATTAAAATTGAACGCATGCAAGAGTATCAAGAACGTTAAGAAAATATTGATGAAAAATTTGTAAAAATACTGTAGTCAGGATACACTTCACCTCTGATCCTCCCTTATATTCTTATATTATATTTTATAATTAATTAATTGGTTTGTTCAGACAATTCATTATTTCCCTATAAAATAGTTGAACCTCAATGTCTTAGTGATTTCAACCCTTTTACCTAATTAAAATTCTAATGTCTTAGTAATCCCTCTTGAATTAAGCATTAAGCAAATGAATTATAAGTCTGCAATCTATGTAAGCCTATGTCTAGGTCATGCACAAATTGTTATTCTATCCTTGTCCAGATTAAAACCTCAATATGTCTATAGTGAATTTTAACCCTAAAAACCTTATAATTAGAGTGGCCAATTCTAATCAGGATATGGAAAAATTAACACAGGTAGAATAAAACAAACAAACTAATTAACTTATAAAATATCAATACAGGAAATATAAAGAATTCACATTGGGTCCGTGAACCCAACTATAAAAAAAAACTAGCCAGACATAGCTGACTCTAACAAATTAAAATAGAAATTGTTCATGAAAGAAAAAGAAAAGAAGAAGAAGATGAAGATGAAGGATCAATGGTCTTTAGTCTTCAGCTTCTCTAGAATCCTGATCTCCAGCGAGTCTCCAAGAGTTCCCTCAATTCTCTCCAACCAAAGATGATTTGTCTCTGAGGTCTGAGTCTCTATTTATAAAGTTTATGTCTTGCTTAGAAATCTTGATCGAATCTTCATTGTGTATGTTGGTCCAATCTTCCTTTAATTCAGTCTGAGATAGAATAAAGATTTTTCCGTACCTCCCGCGCTACTAGCGCCAAAGTAGCCAGTTTTGCGCTAATAGCGTGGGAGTTTTATTCACCATACTGCAGATTGGCGCTACTAGCGTGGTTCCCGCACTGATAGCGCAATTGGCAAAATTGGTTGGCACTACTAGCGCCAGTGTCACGCTAGTAGCGTGGGAGTCTCTGTATTGAAAATTTCTTCTGGCGCTACTAGCGCCACACCCGCGCTAATAGCGCGGGACTTCAGACTTGTGCCTTCAATTTGGACTTCTTTCTGATCCGTTTTCCTACAAAATTAGTAAAAAATCAATGACAAGATATCTGATTAAGATTTATCAATTTAATAACAATTTTAGCCCTTTTTATCCAAGATTGATCAAGATTCTTTCTCTTTTTGGTTTAAGATCATATATATATATATATATATGCGCTGAAGGCATATCACTTGTGACCTTTTCTGTTATTTCTATTTCAGTCTAATGCGTTGTTAAATCTGATTTCAATCAGGTTGGCATAAATGTCCCAATCTCCGTTTCATTGCCCTTTTCTTCATTTATTACCTCCAGACCTGCTTTTGCTGGTGATTTGAATTTTGATGGTAAAAAACTTTTGGAACCTTGCTTTCTGCAATTTATGACCTGATGTGTGCATTAGTGCATGAGCTTATTATCAATTCTTAAAAATCTTTCCTGTAGGCAGAGCTGGAATTCAGTTCTACACACAGACTAAGACAGTGACTAAACAATGGACAGACTCATTAGATGGAGATGAAGCACCTCTAGAAATGCCATGTGCTTAGAAGCTATCAATATTCACGGGGATTTTTTTTCCTTTCGTTTTTGGGAAAGTTATATATATGGCAAAATGATTTCTGCAGCTGTTGTACCTACAGCAAGTAAGGATCCGCGTCCGAATCCTAAGATACGGCAACGGATCTTGAGTTTTTTTTTTTTTAAAAAGCCATGGGGCTCACTTTTCTGTGTCAGCTGTAAATAACACTATCTACGGCTACTGCAGAAATGTTAAGCCCTATATATATATAGATAGTGATAGGGCTTAATATTTCTGCAGTAGCTGTAGATAGTGTTATCTACAGCCATAGGGCTTAACATTTCTGCAGTAGCCGTAGATAGTGTTATCTACAGCTGACACAAAAAGTGGGCCCCATGGCTTTTTTTAAAAAAAAAAAAAAAAAACTCAGGATCCGTTGCCGTATCCTAGGATTCGGACGCGGATCCTTGCTTGCTGTAGGTACAGCAGCTGCAGAAATCATTTTGCCATATATATATATATATATATATACCTTGGCCACGGACAAACTTAATTCATAATTTTCCTCTTACTATTTGTTTGAGCAGGAGTCAACTCTTTCTGCTCCTGGTAATCTCTCGGAATGCTGTGAGTAAATTTTTGCAGACAATCCTACTCGTCTATCAAGGGCATCATAAGGTTCTTAATAGTTTCTACACGGTATTGCTTTGACTGCGTATTTTGCCCCCGTTAAAAAGTAAAGAAATTTATGCCAGTGGAAGCTGAAATATAAAAGGAAATGGTTATTGAACAAACGTGATAATGTGAAGAACTCGAGCTGCCCAGAAAAACGGTGATTAAAAGAATTAGTTGAATTTTAAAGAATTTTTCTTGAAAATCAACAAAGGCATAGGCTTAAATGCCATCTTAAGAACATGTTGTCTCTCTTTTCAGAAAAACTAAAGATGGTATTTGCTAAGAATAGTTAGTCTAGGCAGTATACAATGTTCTGTTATCCATAATCTAAACCTGGCATTCAAACATTCTGCCTTGTTAAAAACTCTCATCTATTGCCTCAATGCGGCTGAACCCATAGCATTTCTTTAACCTTTGTAGTTTCATAGCTTCCCTCACTTGTTCTATATCAAGCCAATGACCATTCTCTGCATAAATCATATTCAACAATGTGTAATTGGCAGCATTATTTGGTTCTGATCTTATAAGCTGTGGGGCTAGCATTTCTGCAATGTCTAGTCTTCCATGAAGCTTACAAGCAGATACCAGAGAGCTCCATATTCTTGCACTCGGTTTCATGGGCATCGTTCTCAGAATTTCCAAAGCATCTTCAAGCTTGCCTGACCTTCCTAGAAGGTCAACTAGGCATGCATAATGCTCTATAGTTAATGGAATTTCACAATCTGCATTTACATGTTTGAATACCCGTTGTCCCTCAGTTAAAAGCCCAGCATGATTACAAGCAGATAAAACTGCAAGGAAGGTGATCGCATCAGGCTTCACTCCTCTCTCTTTCATTTCATAAAAAAGTTGTAAAGCTTGTTCACCACATCCATGAAGGCCATAGGCACTGATCAAAGTGCTCCACGAAACAGAATCTCTATTTGGCATTTCTAGGAATATCTTACGAGAACCATCCAAACAACCACATTTGGCATACATATTTATAAGTGCATTGCCCACAGAGATGATAAAATTAAGTCCAAATTTAAAGATGAGGCCATGGAGTCCACAACCATGCTTAAGTGAAGATAAGTTTGCACAGGCAGAGATCACTTCCAACAAAGTTACATAGTTTGGTTCAGTTTCCCCAGTCCGCATCTCATTAAAAAGCTTCAAGGCTTTGTAGCTATCCCCTCTTCGAGAATAGCTCCCAATGATTGAAGTCCATAGCACCACATCTCTGAAACTAGACCCTTCAAAAATTAGCTCAGCAAGGTGCAGTGATTCTCCACATTGACAATACATATTTATAAGAGCAGATGAAAAACTATGACTTGACTCAAACCCATGACGGAAGGCATACCCATGAATCTCCTTTCCATGCTTAACAAAGCCTAGCTCTACACAAGCTGGTAACAGAGCGATTAATGTTACTCTATTTGGGTTAACTCCCTGAGCTTGCATTGCTCGGAAGCATGCAAAAGCTACATCATAATCTTGATTAGCAGTGCACCCAGTTATCATAGCAGTCCATGAAACCTCATTTTTCACCTCCATCCCATCAAATACTCGTAAAGCCATCAAAGAGTCATTAAACCTAAAATAAAAATCCACAAGAGCTGTTGACAGAAACACTGACTGTTCTATCCTCTCATCAACAACAACAAGAGCATGAATCTGTGTTCCTATTCTTGAACACATTTTCCTCCCACACAGAGATATCATGCTAGCCAACAACTCCGGCTTGGGAACAAAACCAAGCAAGTACACATCTTTCAACGTTTCCAAAGCTTCTGCCAAGTGCCCATTTTGCAAATAACCATTAATCATTGAGTTCCAGGTGATGGGGTCTCTGTGAGGCATTGTGTCGAACACTTCTCGTGCTGATTGGATATCTGAAAACTTAGAATACATGGAGACGATAGAATTGGACACAACTGCTTCAGAGTAGGAGCCTGTCTTGAGAGCCAAGCAATGAAGCTGTGTGCCAAAAGCATGACACTGGGCAGAGGAGCATGCCTTGATGACTGATGGAAGAACAGAGGAGATGAAGTGGTGGCCAGAGAGATGGAGTTGTGTGAAAAGTTCAAGTGTTTGGTGATAAAGACCCTTTGAAACCAAGCTTTTGATTTGATTGGAATGTGAATAAATGGCCATGCTGAGCAGAGGATTCAAATTCAGATTCAGAATCAGTGTGTGGCCACTTCATTTTTTGGGCAAAGTTATGTTGCAGGTCCAGATACTTCTGTTTTGTGTGAATTCTTGGACTTGGACTTGGATTTGGCCTATGATGACATTTTTAATTTTCCATTGAATGAGTAAAGGTTTTCGTTTTATCCTTTAACATAACACAATAAATTTTTCTACACTCACAATATTTTGTGGGGATCACACTTTGTAAAATAAATTAAGGCACGCAAAACGAATTTCTATAACATTACAGAATTATTTTTCCTGCAACATAACTTTTATAAAACCCAAAGACTAATTTCTAATAAGGCTCCAAAAGCAAAAGAAAATTTATAAAATTACTTTTTCATTCATCATTTTTTAAATTATATGTTTAATGACTCAAGTGGCTCCAAAAGCAAAAGAAAAATTTGTAAGATTACTTTTTCATACATCATTTTTAAAGTCTTATCCGAATCAATAGTTCAATACACAGTGCGTTAGTAAGCGCGAGGAGAGCATGCAAATCATTGGTTTTTATTTAATTGGTTTCTAGTTTTACTTTTTGTCCAATCATCTTTATGAGAAATCAAATATATTCACAGCTATCACAAAAAAAATTGTTCTATCTGCCCAACTGCAACGGACATATATTAATCATTAATTAAAAGTATTTTTGGTGTTTAATAATAAAGAATGAATGAATGATAATCCAAAAGCACGTGTCGTATATAAGCAACATTTCACAACGACAGTGACTCCAGTGAGTGAATGTGGCGTTTGCAGAATCAGTTACGTCCGGTGAGTTTCACTTTCACTCCTCCAAGACATGTTCCTTAATTTCCTGAAATATTAAAACAGGATTTGAAGTACGTAGCGTATGTTCCCGCTTATTTGGATGCACTCTTGTACATGGCTGATGATGACGAGTAATTGAAATTTGAAATCTGATTAAGGAAAACCCAATTTTGATGATGTTGCAGGGAAGAAGTTTGAACCTTTTGAGGCCTCAGAACTCTGCTATGGCAAGTTCTCATTTATCAACAGCTGCTGAGCTATTTTCAAGACAACGTAATCCCCCGGTATGCTCAACCTTAGTTTGGATTCCTGAAAATTTTGACTTGATGGTTATCTGTTAACTCACTCAGTAGTTTGAAAAAAAAAAAAAAAGTTTATTGTTGAATATGTTTTTGCTCAGAGAGACTGATTTAGAAATTTTTGTATTTTTGTAGTCGTCTCAATTTGATTCAAGTCTTTTCATTGAACTTTAGGAAAAATTGACCAAATTGATATGAACCAAAAAAAAAAAATGTAACTTTTTGGCTTACTTATTCTACAGTGAATTGGCAACAATATGAGATCTGATACTTGGTTTGTTACTTTGCATAACCATGAAGTTACATGCTTTTGTTCTTTTTGTTCATAAGTTTGTAACATATAAGGAATAATCGCATTTGCTATAGATTTTGATATTGTGTCCCGAGAAAGTTGAGATCTGAACTCGAGAATCAGTCACAATTAGATCATGCATAATTCAGTATATGCTATTAGCATTAAGATAAGTAATCTGCTTTTCATGAGTTTCCCATTTACCTCTTATCTCCCATTTTCGTTTGATTGTATTGTATCAGAGGGTTCCAAATCTAATTGGGGGCAGTTTTGTCGACTCAAAATCGTTGACTTTCATTGATGTCATAAACCCTGTAAGTGTTTTTTTTTTTTGGTTTTATATTGAGCATTAAGCTGTCTCTCTTTTTTGCTGTTTTGAGAAGGCAAACTTCTAATATTGATATCATCTGATAACAGGCAACACAAGAAGTTGTTTCACAAGTTCCTTTGACTACGGATGAAGAGTTTAAAGCTGCGGTATCTGCAGCAAAGAAGGCATTTTCATCATGGCGTAACACTCCAATCACAAGACGCCAACGTGTTATGTTGAAGTTCCAGGAGCTTATACGCAGAGATATGGTAAGCATTTTACAATGTTCTATGGCTGTGTCACATTCATTCACTGGTTTAGACCAAGACACCCATATCAGCACATATGTTGAGATATATAGTCCCGCATTAATTATGTGGGCAACTAATGAGGCCTTTATAAGGCCTTGGGCACTCTCACTCCTTGAACTAGCTTTTGGATTGGTGTATCTCAAGGTTCTTTACATGGTATCAAAGCCTCACCGTCCTCCGCTTTAAAAAGTGGAATTAAAAAAAAAAAGAAAAAGCACAAGAAGGTAAACCAAAAATGAGCCTGTGAAATTTCCACGCTTCTAGCCTAAAGGGCTCTTGCGTGAGGGGGCGTGTTGAGATATATAGTCCCACATTGATTGGATGGACAACTAATATGACCTTTATAAGGCCTTGGGCACTCTCACCCCTTAAGCTAGCTTTTGGGGTGGTGACCTCAAGGTTCTTAACATGTTGAGATATATAGTCCCACATTGATTGGATGAACAACTAATATGACCTTTATAAGGCCTTGGGCACTCTCACCCCTTGAGCTAGCTTTTGGGGTGGTGACCTCAAGGTTCTTAACATGGTATCAGAGCTTGAGCCCTCACCGCCTCCCACTTTAAAAAAGTGGAATTAAAAATAAAAAGCACAAAAAGGTAAACCAAAAATTGGGCCTGTGCAATTCCATGCCTCTAGCCCAAAGGGCTCTTGCGTGAGGGGACGTGTTGAGATATATAGTCTCGCATTGATTATGTGGGCAACTAATGAGGCCTTTATAAGGCCTTGGGCACTCTCACTGCTTGAGCTAGCTTTTGGGTTGGTGTATCCCAAGGTTCTTTACAACATATGCCAGTAATTCTTTTTTCTTAATCATATCACTCTACTTTGTAATTGTTTTAGGATAAACTTGCAATGAATGTGACCACTGAACAAGGAAAGACGCTAAAGGATGCTCAAGGAGATGTATTCCGTGGTTTAGGTTGGTCTCTCTAATATGTTGCTTGGGAAGTTTTTGTCAATGAGATAATGATTGAGCTCAAAATGTTTGGTAATGTAAGTTATCTGAACATTTTGATTTATGTCATCTAGAGGTGGTGGAACATGCTTGTGGGATGGCAACTCTACAAATGGGGGAGTATTTTTCCAATGTATCACGGGGAATTGATACATTCAGCATTATAGAACCGCTTGGTGTTTGTGCTGGTATTTGTCCGTTCAACTTTCCTGCAATGATTCCCTTATGGGTAAGCTGTCTTCTATTTTTGGTTAATTTTTGCTTTTAGTTCTTGGGTACTCCTTTATTTTTGTTTGGTTGGTCATCTCATTCATATCAGCATGCATAAGATAGGAAAGGTCTAATTATATAAAATGGTTCGGAAATATTCGGCTAGAATAGCTTTGTATTTGTCTCTTCCCATATTATTGTTATTTTTTCCGGGAATATGATGTATATTATATTGTATTGGACATAAAATTGACATCCTGTTCTCTAAAAGGACATGATACCAAATTCCAAATGTTTATGATCTTTCTGCAGATGTTCCCAATGGCAGTTACCTGCGGCAATACCTTTATTCTAAAGCCATCAGAGAAAGATCCAGGTGAAGTTTTCCACATATATTTGTTGTTTATCAATACCCTTGAATTAACTCCTCAATTTGAAGCTTGGTGTGAATATAATGGAAAAAGGATTCTAATATTTTCTGTAATTTAAAGCAATCTTATGCTTCTTTAATATGTTACAGTTTGTCCGAGAAGTCTATATTAATTTTACTTAGTGATTACTGATAAATATGGTCTTATTTATCTATCAAGTTATGGAATACTGAATATTATCAGCCATCCATTAGTTTTTCTTCGCTACCCTTGTGATGATACATGCAGCATGCTCCTATGGTAAAGGCACACTTATCTGGCAGAACTTACATGTATAGAGTCTTTTGTCCACTTTCATGATTCATCACTTTTTGGTTACAACTTCTGGTGGAGAGAAACTAATTTCATTATGGCTGGATGTTATATCTTAACTTCGGCATTTTTCCAGGTACTTCTGTAATGCTTGCAGAATTGGCAATAGAGGCTGGTTTGCCCGAGGGTGTCTTAAATATAGTTCATGGAACTCATGTATGCTATCACCTTTTTTTAATTAAACTTTTGTTCTTCACTTGTTTCTTTGATACTTTCCTAGTAAAGAACTCATGGGCTCATTTGGCATTTGGTAATTTCATTACATATTCAAGTTTTAAATCAGAGGATTGCTTATAACAACTCGTCACATTATGATGCATAAATTGATGTTCGTAATAATCCAATTGGTGACAGGATATTGTCAATGCTATTTGTGATCATGACGACATCAAAGCCGTATCTTTTGTTGGTTCAAATGTTGTAAGTCATCTAATGATTTTTTTATATTTTATTTTACTGCTTTTATATGATGCCTTAATTTTATGATCCTAAACGATAATTTAAATGATTTAAACCAAAGGCAGTCCTGTTAAATATCAGCAAAATTAAATCATTTCACAATTTGACCGCACTAACATAAAAGATAGAAGAGAGCAAGTGAGTCAAATGCTATTTTTTGCAAATGATAGTTGCACCCCCAACACAACACCCCCGAATTTTATTATTATATATCCTTATTTGATATTCTTATTTTGTATTCAAGGCTGGAATGCACATATATGCAAGAGCAGCAGCTAAAGGAAAACGTGTTCAGGTGGGTGCACTTAGTTTTCTCCTCCCTTTAGTAAAATTGTTTCTTTCTGCCCATGCTAATGATTGGAAGTTGTGCACCTAATGATTTTTTTTTTCAGTCTAATATGGGGGCCAAAAATCATGCAGTTGTCATGCCTGATGCAAGTTTTGATGCTACTGTAAATGCTTTAATTGCTGCGGGTTTTGGTGCTGCTGGTCAAAGGTGCATGGCTCTCAGCACAGTTGTTTTTGTTGGAGGCTCAAAACTGTGGTATCATACTCTATTATGTTCTTATTTAATTCGATTTTATTATGATTTTTGCAGTAGCATCTTCCACTAGATGCTTGTTCCAAAACGATCTGGATGTCTTTGGTGTGTGCCAAACTGAATCATCACTCTTCCTTTACTAAGTCATAACATAGCACAAATTTTTGCAATTACTTTATTATCACATTTTGCTAGTGATGTTACTGCTGGACCAATTTGCATGGATGATTAATTGTTTCCATCCTTTTTGATATTTCTGTCGGGATTGTCCAGAGAAGAGGCTGTTCCAAGTATTTGGACTTCTTTGTGGGGTAGTTGTCTTGGGGAAATTGACTTTATGTACTTTTTTGGCCTTATAAAACTTACTTTTATCATGTACTTAAAATCTTTTAAGTATAATTTCATCCTTTAGTCTCCACAATATTTTTCCAGGGAAAGTAAACTTGTGGAACGTGCCAAAGCTCTTAAAGTAAATGCTGGAACTGAACCTGATGCAGACCTTGGTCCAGTAATTAGCAGACAGGTTTATTTACGGTTCTTATTTTTACTTTTTCCATGCTATGGATTTGAACTAAAATTTAATGGCAAATCTTCAGAATATTGTTTAAGAATTACTGTCAAAGCGATTCATTGCATTACCTTTCCTCATCGATATTCTTACCGACTGCATAGGCAAAGGAGCGAATACACAGATTAATTCAATCTGGGTTTGAAAGCGGTGCAAGACTAGTGCTTGATGGAAGAAATATAGTGGTAGCTTTTATATTCTCAACCACTTTTATTATTTTATATTTATAGTTCATACACATTTCTTTACTTTTGCATGTATGATCAATTTACCTCTTCAATCTTTGGCATAGGAATTGACATAGGAGTGTTTGGAAACCAAAAGCAGCAGAAAGATTTATGTATACGAAGACTGTAATTTAAGTAATCATAGCACTCTTCCAACTGGGGCCTTATAGAAGAAAAACATACAGGAGATAATGAAACATTTCTTCTTCGCATATCATTTGATTCGGTTGTAAACTAACAGCTTTTGTGCTGGTTAACCAATTAAATACCTGTAAAAAAATAGAACCTTTTATTTGTATAACTCTTATGGAACCTTGAAAAAATCCCATGGTTGTGGCGCTTGGTTTCAGTTGCTTGGTGGTATATGTAAAGAACCAATTCAACCCAAAAGCTTAAGCTGTTGGGTGAGGTTACATTAATGATTTTATATATCTCAACACGTCCCCTCACACGAGAGCCCACTGGGCTTGAAGGGTGGACAATGCATAGGCCCACCTACCTGTGCGAAGAAAGAAATTCCACTAGAAAGAAAGTGGGAGGCGATGAGGATCGAACCCGGTACACCGAGGCTCTGATACCATGTAAAGAACCTTGAGATACACCACCCCAAAAGCTAGCCTTATAAAGGCCACATTAGTTGTCCACACAATCAATGTGGGACTATATATCTCAACACGCCCCCTCACGCAAGAGCCCTTTGGGCTTGAAACGTGGAATCGCACAGGCCCAATTTTTGGTTTACCTTTTTGTGCTTTTTATTTTAATTCCACTTGAAAGTGGGGGACGGTGAGGCTCTGATACCATGTAAACCAATTCAACCCAAAAGCTTAAGCTGTTGGGTAAGGTTACATTAATAATTTTATATATCTCAAGAGTATATATGAAGCCAGAGTGTCATAGCACACTGAAAATTAGTTTGAATTAACCTGATTGAGATGCAATAAAATGGAGAACCATGAATAGAAAAGTCAATTGGCAAATGCAAAGGACGTACAGTTTGGTGCATGTCTGTATTCCACTTGCTATAGATCAGTCCTTGCATTTGCCTTTGTTTTGCCATATAGTCAATGGATTTTTTCTTTTCTTTCTTTTAATCCTAATTTTATGACTGCTTAACAATTCATACGTGGATGTCAAGTAGGTCCCCGGATATGAATCTGGCAATTTTATTGGACCAACCATCTTATCAGATGTCACTGCCAACATGGAGTGCTACCAGGTATTTTCTCACTAATCTTCAATCAGTAAGTGTTTACTAAAGAATTTCAGAAAATAGAAAGACTTGGAAGTTTAGGCTTAAATTAAACTTGACTATATCACGGTCTGTGCAGGAGGAGATTTTTGGTCCAGTTCTTCTTCTCATGGAGGTACATTTTATTTGTCTCATCCTTGAAATCCTCTAATTTGGAATTATTTTATTTTTCGTTTTTTGGTCATGTGGAAGATTCATATGTCTTGGATTTTTAATATAATGTTATGCTGATACAATGTTTTTTCTTTTTCCTTCTTAACATCAGGCTGATAGCTTGGAAGAGGCCATAAACATTATCAACGAAAACAAGTATTTATTAACAAGCACTCCGTTTCATTTGCTTTTGCTAAACTACCATTTATCTGTTAACTCTGACTTCTCCTTTAGGTATGGAAATGGTGCTACTATATTTACTACATCTGGCGTGGCTGCAAGGAAATTTCAGACAGAGATTGAGGCAGGGCAGGTTTGTCCTAAGTGGGATGTTCTGCTTTTGCTATTGGAAACACGTTAATAAATAATAGTGTTTATGGATTTGAACCTGTATATGCATTGCTGTATGTTATTTTTTTCAACCAAATAATTTACATTTTACCATGTGCTAGATTCTCTCTACCACAAATTGATTATATACGTCAGAGAATAATGTAAACCATTAAAAAAATCTTTACCTAATACTTTAAGGTTTTTGGTTGAAGTGGTTCTTTATAATATAAACCAGACTCTGATACCTTGTAAAGAACCACTTCAACCCAAAACCTTGAAGTGTTAGGTGAAGATCTTTTTAATAGTTTATATTATTCGCTAATAATATATTTGATACTCTTACGGATATTATCACTTGTCACTGCATTTGAACTAGGTGGGCATCAACGTTCCAATTCCTGTTCCTTTACCCTTTTTTTCATTTACTGGCAACAAGGCATCATTTGCAGGCGATCTCAATTTCTATGGTATAATGATTTCTCCCAAAGCTAGCTTTTCCTTTCCACATGTACTATCAGGTTTCGCTTTTGTGATATATAGGCTATACCCTTGGATTTGAATGAATTTGAGTTTGATACTATTTTTTGAATGACAGGCAAGGCAGGGGTTAACTTTTATACACAGATCAAAACAGTAACACAGCAGTGGAAGGATTCAGCTAGCGGGAGCAAGGTTAACATGTCAATGCCAACTTCTCAACAATCTTGAATGTGAAGTGTATATTGCATCCGAATAAAGAACACCGAACCATTTTGTCACGTTTGACAAAAAATTTTAACAAACTGTTATGTTAAGAGTAAATTTTGCCAAAATGTCACGCGGCATGTTTCGCTACACTGTGTAGTGAAATATATTTGCAAGTAATTTGCTACAGTGTAGCGAAATATGTCATGTCAGGCTGTACAGTCAGCAAAAATGACACGTGTTAAGCAGGCCGAATTCAAGCATAATTCGCTACACAGTGTAGCGAATTTCTGCCTGCTTGACACGTGTCATTCTTTTTGCTGACTGTGCATTCTGACATGGCATATTTCGCTACACTGTGTAGCGAATTACTTGCAAACATATTTCGTTACACAGTGTAGCGAAATATGTCGCGTGACATTTTGACAAAATTTACTGTTAGCATGACAGTCTGATAAATTTTTTTGTCAAGTGTAGCAAAATGGTCACTCTTTCTCTGAATAAACCTTCATTTGTACTCTAATAAACCCTGTTAAACTATTATCTTATATTTTCAACTTCACATCTCACTGCAAATCTCTATCAAAATCTTATGTAAGTAATCCATTCAACTAGTTAAATTTTGTTATAAAGTATTATGACTTGTTATGTTTTGATTCGATGTGTGTATTATTCTCGGAATACGTGAATTTCTTGGGAGTAAGGGCTCTTAAACTTTCAACTTGACAATAGACACATTCTAAACAGAGGAAATTATAATTGGTAATGTGGTATGATACGTAGAGTATATTTACACACAAAATAAATTAATGGTGTGATGTTTCTTATGTTATACGAGATAAAATTATTTTCTACACACATAAAAGTGTGTGAAACTCATGTGGGGTCATGTGATGAGAAGAGATAAAAAAAAATAAGCTTCATATACTTCTATGTTTGTATAGGAGATAAAATTATTTCTTACAACATGAGGAATATTAAACACATAAATCAATATAAATATACTCATAATCTTATAAAATATAATAAAAAGACTCATTCAAAATATAGTTTGTGCTTGCATTAGCTTATTTTATGATCAAAATATTGCTATTAAAGCTTTTAAAATAATTATGATTCTCTAAAAAACTTACACTAAATGGTTGAGTTTTTTATTTATTATTTGTTGTAATATTTGGGTATGTTTCTAATTTAGATTTTTATTTGTAATTTAACAATTACATGTAAGTAATGTCATTTAAATTTAACTTGTCATGTTACGATAATAAATTTATGACATGAATATATTTTTATTAATAATTTAAACTTAACATTGATATAGTTTAATATTTTTTTTGAAGTTTTCAACAAATATCTTTATTACTTAAATCGTGTATGAATCGCTCGTTTTATATTAAAATCTTAAAACTTTAATTAATGATAACCAAAAAGTTATGGCAATCTACATTTTAGTTATATATATATATATATATGGGTTCGTTTTTTCTGCAGTTACTGCAGATAAGTTATCTGCAATAAGTCCAATATGACGTCATTTTGGAGCGAAAATCATGGTGTTTTTTTAATTTTAATTTATTTTAGGGTTATTACAGTCTTTATAATTATAATTTTTTAATGTTTCATTCCCAAAACGACGTCGTTTTGGAAGTGAAAGTAAATGCAGATAACTTATCTGCAATAACTGCAGAAATATTTTTCTATATATATATATATATTGTTAGGAATGTGGCTTCCATACTCAAGAGGGGGTGAATTGAGTATTACAAAATTTTCTCAAAAGTCCCCTTCTAGTTTCTAAATAATTATTTCAAGCAAACTTTGATATGTGGAAATGTAATCAATACATTCAGACAAACCATAATATATAATATATCACAATTATAGAACTTATACTAGTACATACAAGATATCAAAGAAGCAATTAGAGTGCTAGAAATAAAGAGTTTAGAGTTTAGAGAATTGCTAACACAATATATCCTGGTTCGGTCACCACCACTTGTGACCTACGTCCAGACTGAAGCCGCTCGATCAACTCTTTCACTAATGGTCAAGCTTCACGGGTGCTTGACAAACCTTTACAATCTTCCAAGATTTCGGGTTCTTGGATACCTTTCAATCTCCAAGTTTACGGGTACTTGGTAACCTTACAATTTACTCCAAATTTACATAGGTATTTGGCTACATCTCAAACAATGGGTCTCACAACCCTTTCAACTCAAGAATACAAGAAGGGGAATATTAGGAAATGAATATACACTCTCAAAGTGTGGATATACAACTTGAAGCACTATGGGTATATGGATTTTCAAGATATGAGCTCAAATATATTTGATCTTTGAAAGATATGAAAGAATATGCAAATGATAGTGTAGAAGCTCTCAAATCATCCTTAATATGTGTAGGAATAGTGATCAATACGTTTTAGGGTCATAAGGAATGTATTTATAGTGTTTCCATTAAAAACTAGCCGTTTATGACCGTTTTATGCATTCTGCCCAGTAAGTATTCGAATACTTTTCATGTGGTATTCGAATACTTCATTTATAGCCGTTTATAGTCGTTATAGACCTTCTTCTCAGCAAGCATTCGAATATTTTTCGTGTGGTATTTGAATACTTCATCATGTATTCGAATAATGCATCAGGTATTCGAATACTTTATTGACAGCAAGAATATTGTTTCGTATTTTGGGCATAACTTGGGTTATACTTGTCGAATTGATGTGATCTTGGTCTTGTTGGAAAGATAAAAGAAAGATCTAGAGCTTTTATGAAGAACACAAGATCCAAATACATCATCTTAGATATTAAAAGTTGTATGGAAGGAAGCAGCAAACTTAAGCAACAAATTTTAGGTTCAAATGTGTTCTAGCTTGCTTCCAACCACTTTTTGTGAAAGATCTTGACTTGATAAATATGTTTTGAAGTTATAAAATATGTCAAGGATCTTTTCCTTGGATTTTTCAAATTTCTTTCAAGTATATAAAGATTATGATTATGCAATTTGAAAAACACGTTTACTTTGAGAAAAACTTTGAGCTCATGCAATGTAATCTACCATATACCCTCACATATATTCTAAGTCCTAAAGATATATTCCAAATATGATTTTAGACTTAGCTATATGTCTTGTGTCTTGGATCCTTACTTGAACTTGATGTGTTGACTTGTTGAATATGACAATGTTTGGCACTTTGTTGGTTTTGATCATTTTTCACCATGGTTATGATATTGAGATTCTCTTAGATGTTGTCCATGGTTGGTTGTCTTTGATATTGGTGTTGCTCTTTTAATTATTTCTTGTTGCCCTTGATCCAATGATCTTGCCACTTTGATGTGACATTACTCTTCTTGTGTGACTACATCATACATCTTCAATATCCACATACGGTTGATGCTTTTTGCTCTTGATCAAAGATCTTCTCTTTTTGTTGTTGCCATTTTGTTATCATCAAAACATACCTTATATCTACATATATAAACTAAATTTAGATAACATTATCTGGCTTTTTGACCATTTTATCCCTTATTAATTAATTAATAATCATTTTGCCCCTTATCCATAATTATCTACCAACATGCCCCTCTTTAATCGATTAAATTGAATATTTAATCGATTAAATGGTCAAAATAGGTAAAAATGGTTGACTCGAGATTTAATCGATTAAATCTCCCTCTTTAATCGATTAGCTTGAATATTTAATCGATTAAAATTTATATTTAATCGATTAAATATCCCAAATGAACGTGAAAACATTGATTGAAAGAGACAAACAAGAAAAACTCGCTACGTTCAAACAGGATGATTAATGTTTAGTTTACTATAATGATTAAGTTTTGGCTTCCCCAAGTGTTCGTTTCAAATCTGTCTTACTTGCTGTGAAGAAATACGAAATGGATGATTAAGATTTAGTTTACTATAATGATTAAGCAGCAAATCTATGATAAGAGCTATCTTTATAGATGGCACGAATGGTAATGACATATATTGTCCAGTGTCAAGTGACTTGTCAGAAGAAGGGCTATTTCTCTTCCAACAACATTGGATTAAAGGTGAACCAATCATAGTTCGGGATGTTCTTAAACTAGGGACAAGTCTGAGTCGGGAGCCAAAGGTCACTTGGCGAGCATTATATGAAAATTTGGATTCAAGGAACAACTCAAATGTGTTAATGAACCAAGATTGGTTCTCGCTATGCGGTGAACCAGTGAGTTTTCCTTGTTTGTCTCATTCAATCAATGTTTTCACGCTCATTTGGGATATTTAATCGATTAAATGGATTAAATATCCCTCTTTAATCGATTAAAGAGGGATATTTAATCGATTAAATCTCCAGTCAATCATTTTTGCCTGTTTTAACCATTTAATCGATTAAATATTCAAGTTAATCGATTAAAGAGAGACAAATTGATGGATAGTTTTGGATAAGGGGTAAAATGGTTATTAATTAATTATTGAAAGGCAAAAAGGTTAAAAAGCCAACATTATCTACGGCTATCTTTTTTTAACTAAGTTTGACCAGTAAGATATAGTTATAACAATAAAGTTGTTCTTTTTTTTCTCTCATTAGATATTGCCGGCTGACATAACGGAGAGAGAAAATGCAATTTTTATGTCTCACTGGTCAAACTTAGTTAAAAAAGAATAGTGTAGTCAATCTTATCTAAAGTAGTTGTAGAAATATATATTTTTTTTGGATACAAAAGTAGTTGTAGAAATATTTAACTCATATATATTTTTATATATGTGTGAGTGTTTTTTTTTTAATTTTTTATGTAGTAGTTAATATTTAATAATATAGTGTCATTAAATATTTTGTTTTTTTCTCCCTGATAAATAGTTAGGATTGTCATTTCATTTCCATTTATATATATTACAGAAATAAGACAGTCTCACTTTCTTTATTATTTTTTTCCTTATCGTTACTTGTTGCGGGAGACAATTTCTGTTCATGCAACAGAAGAAGAAGAAAAAAAAAAAAAAAAATATATATATATATATATATATATATATATATATAAAATAAAATACCCCCATCAGATTTTAGTGATAATGTGAGGATATGAGACCCATAAAGTTCTTGGCGGAGTACTTCTTTAAAGAGGCATTCAAATGCAAGAAACCTATCATTTAACTTTTGGTATTCATAAATTTTAACTATTGGGCTCCACCTATTTAATGCTCCTGAAAAGATAGACATAAGGTTTTACTGAGTCTCTTGTTTCTCTATTTTTATGTCATTTCAGGTTAAATGCTATTTAATTTAAGAGGAATATTTTTCTTATTTTATATAAAAAAATTATTATCTCCTGTTCAAATAATAAATATAAGAGATAAATTTTTTTGAAACTCATTTAAAAAATGTGAATACAGAAAACAATATTTTTTTGCATAAGAAGTATTACTCTTAATTTAAACAGTGAGACATTTATTCTTAGCCATATTTTTTATGATTTCATATTGAAATTTATACTATTTTTTTCTTTTATCTAACGGCCATTTGATATCCATCAAAATCTGTATTGAGGGAAAAATATTTGTCTCTTTTCTAAGGATATAATTTTGTGTCATTTTAGATTACAACCATTGATTTCCGTCAATCAATAATTATACTTTATTGGATCAAATTTATTTGGTCAAATTTATTATTAATCAATTAATAAATTTAATCCAATAAATTATAACTGTTGATTGATAAAAATCAACGATTAAGATTTAAAATGACACAAAATTATATCATTTAAAAACATAAACGTTTATTCTTAGTCAAAACACTCATTATTCGCCGAAACCAAAACACAGATAAAAAAATAAATACACATGAAAAACACTCTAATCAATGCAATTCATCATTAATTAAGAGCTAGAAACTAGTTCTACCAAGGTCTTGAAATCCTGTGCTGCTCTACGTTGTGGTCCAGCTGCATCTTCCACGGTCCTCTTCAATTTTAGTGCCTTCTCCCTCATCTTCTTCCCCTCTTCCATCACCATAATCAGATTCAAGCTTTTGAGCAATCCATTTTTGGTGAACACTCCACCTTCTATTCTCACACCAATCTCCCAAAAATCTTCAACCATTCTTCCAGCCATCCCATGATCTCCAAAGAATGGCCTGCAGATCATAGGCACCCCATTGGAAATACTCTCGAACACAGAGTTACAGCCACAGTGAGTCACAAACACTCCTACAGAATCATGTCCCAAAACATGAGTTTGTGGAACCCAAGGCACAATTTTCCCACGTATCATGGTCCTCTCAAGAAACCCATTTGGAAGAAGACCCTTTAGATGATCCTTGAGGGACCAAAGAAATGGAAAACCACTTGCTTCCAATGCTTCTGCCACTGCCACAAGCTCATGTTGAGGTGGTGTCACCACAGTCCCAAAGCTAACATACACCACTGATCTTTCATTCTGCTTTTCCAACCATGACAAGCAACCAGTTTCATCTGTGTCACATGGAGGCAATGGCATCAGAGGCAGTGAAAGAGTGAGAAAACCAACATAAAGCACTGACTTCAAATTTGATCTCATATCCTTAACTAACAAGGGTGGGTCTAATTCCTCAAAGAAATTGATAACCACTGCCTCAGCTTGAGGTAGTACTCTACCAAGTGAAGCTAGTGTCTTTGAAAATAGTGCCTCCTCTTCCCCACATTTTAATACATCATCTGGCAAATCTTCAACACGCATCTTAGACAAACCTGGAATGAAATCCAAAGCTCTGTCTCCACCATTATTATTATTATTAGCACATTGCTCGCGTATCAAATCAGTGTAAAAATGGGCAGCGAGTGAACATGACAAGGGTGGCCAAACTGGAATCCAAGGAACATTTAGTTTCTGAGCAACTATGAGTGAAGGAGTAACAAAAGCATCAGCAATGATGCAAGTTACTCTGTGTTTTGTCCCTGCCACTGCCAAATCTATACCCTTTTGCAAATTCTCAGGACCAGCCTGAAGAAAAAGGTTCACTTTTTCAACTGGGTGGCCACCTAGTACTTGACCCTCAGGGACTCCATCACCTACACTATAAGCCTTTATGTTATCTGGAATGTGAGGTTTTGAGAAAAGAGGTTTATTAGAGTGTTCAGTGCCAATGAATGAGAAATACAAATTGGGAGCTGCATGAGCAAGTTTGAGGACAAGGTTTAATAGAGGAACAGGGTGGCTCCCAAAGGGGAAAATAAACACCGCCACATGTTTCTTCTCGGCCTTTGAGTTTGCCATATTAGAAAGATGGCACAAGAGAGTAACGAGAATGTGAACCTTATTTATATGGAAGTATTCTTTTTTTGGCCTGAACCGCGGTACTCCCTCCTCAAAATAGGAAAAAGGATGGATTGAAGGAGGGAAAAAAAAAAAAGAAATAAAAGAAAATTTTTCATTTATAAATAAAGGACCACTGATTTAGGGGTGTCAAAACGGGTTGACACAATACGCATTTGACACGACATGAATATATCAACACGAACATGACACGAATTTTTTTTCGTGTCAAAATCTTCAACACTAATACGACACTAATTTTTTTTGCAGATAGACACTATACGACACGAATAACACCCAAAATAAGGATCAAAACGGTACTTGACAAAAAAAATTAAATTTTTTTTTTAAAAAAAATATAGGTCAACACGAACACGAATACATCAATATGAATACATCATGAATTTTTTATTTTTTCCAACATAAACATGACACAATTATTTTTGCAGATCAATCCAAATACAAATTTTTATGTGATATTACGGGTTGAGTCACGTGTCATGATTTATATTGATACCCCTGCACTAAATAAGTAGTGGGGCTTGAACATAATACATTTTTCCTTATTTATATTAATTTGGGGTGCAGCTTCTGCAGTGCAATTAATCACTTTGTCAATTGGGAGTGTGGTAGGTGGCGGGTGACTAGCAAGATGTGACAACCATTCATATCAATTAACGCTTACCCTTAAATGGGAAAAACATATGTCCCATAATAACTGACCAGAGACCACCACACTCAGGGATAGCGTGCATGTGTACTGTGGATCTCTCGGGTTAAAAATTTTGGATTACTCGGGACATTGATCATATTATCATCTTTTATGCAAAAAAAATATTGGATTGTCTTGTTAGGAAATTTTTTTAACAAAATGTGACATTACAATTTTGCTGGTCTGACAAGCGGGAATGATTTGGACACGTATCAGTGCTGAATGGTTAACCATTATCACTGGGCTGCCCAGCTAGAATGACGGAATGCTGACACGTGACAAAAGTACAGATATCCGGTAATTTTTTGTTAAAGGGGTGGCAACATGGTTAATGTCCCTACTCTCTTCAGAAATATGTAAACAAATTTAATAAGATCTCAATGTATAAAACACATAAATTTTCACATGGTTTGAAATTTTCACATGATTTCATCCTTCTTCTTTTATAATTAAATTCTTAAATCTGATTTTGGTTTTTGTAAATATAAATTTGTAAAATTTCAAATAAAAATGACACAAATTCTTGCAAAAAATAATTATTTATTATTATTTTTAAATCTGATTGTAATAAATGAAAATTTATCTCTCAGATAAAATATAAAAACCTAAATGTGACGATAAGAACCTTTTTTGTGGATAAATATAAAAATTTATTGCATGCTGATAGTTAGAGGTTGCAAACTAGGCTCGGTCCGAAGGCCGGCCCACTAACACATTTTTATAATTAAATTAAAGTTTCATCCTTCTTCTTTTATAATTAAATTCTTAGATCTGATTTTAATTTTTGTAAATACAAATTTGTATAATTCAAAATACTAATGACACAAATCCTTGCAAAAATATATTATTTACATAAAACGCTGATAGTTAAAGGTTGCAAACTGGACTTGGCCCAAAGGGTCTGCACACGCCCCGCCTGCCAACACGTTTTAATAATTAAATTAAAATTCTACTATTCTTCTTTTATAATTAAATTCCTAATTCAGATTTCAATTTTTGTAAATACAAATTTATAAAATTTTAAATACTAACGACACAAATTCATGCAAAAAAATAATTATTTATTATTATTTTGTAAATCTAATTGTAATAAATGAAAGTTCATCTCTGAGATAAAATATAAAATCCTAGACGCAATTAAAAGAGCTTTTTTTTAACAAATATAAAAATCTATTATATGCTAATAGTTAGAGGTGGCATACTCCGGGCCGGCCCACCAACACATTTTACAGTTAAATTAAAATTTCATCATTCTTCTTTTATAATTAAATTCCTAAATCTGATTTTAATATTTGTAAATACAAATTTGTAAAATTTCAAATACAAACATCGTAAATCCTTGCAAAAAAATAATTATTTATTGTTATTTTTTAAATCTGATTGTAATAAACGAAAGTCCATCTCTGAGATAAAATATAAAAACGTAAATGTGACTATAAGAACCTTTTTTGTTGATAAATATAAAAATCTATTGCATGCTGATAGTTAGATAGGGAAAACTAGGCTCGGCCCGGAGGTCCGACCCACCAACAAATTTTTGTAATTAAATTAAAATTTCATTCTTCTTCTTTTATAATTAAATTCCTAAATCTGATTTTAATTTTTGTAAATACAAATTTGTAAAATTCCAAATACTAACGACACAGATCCTTGCAAAAAATAATTATTTATTATTATTTTATAAATCTGATTATAATAAATGAATGTCCATCTCTGAGATAAAATATAAAAACGTAGATGCAAATATAAGAACTTTTTCATGTGGATAAATATAAAAACCTATTACATGCTGGTATATAATGCTGACAATTAGAGGTTGCAAAGTGGAGTCGGTCCATAGGACTGGCCCGCCAATATTTTTCTTGTAATTAAATTAAAATTTCGCTCTTCTTCTTTTATATTAAACATAATAACTCAAAAATTTGTCAACTCTACATGTACAAAAAGTTGGAGTTAGGTAGCTAACAATATTGATTTAATAAAATGCAGAGATATATTTTTATGATTTGCATTAACTTTTACAAGACAGACAAACACATTTCTTTTATTCCCGTGCATCGCACGAGTTATACTTAATTTTGAAGGAGTTTTTTTTATGTAGGGTGCTGATTTGGAATATTATCCAAGAAAACTTAATGTTCTTAATGAAAAATCCATGTTATTTAAGGTCGACGTAAAAAAAATAATTTGGAGTCATATAATGAGCCAAGATATCAAGTTTCAAGTGTTTGAAGCTGCGAAGCTATTGTCACCTCATTCTTTAAGTCTTTGGGGGACCCGAATGTATGTTGTTATTTTTTAAAAATTTATCATTGTGGATTCTTTATATTGTTACAAGTTTTTAGCATGTGTATTGATTTGATGCTATTTAGACACATTTGTTTCAATGTAAGCAAAAAATATGACTCATACATAACCATTTGGTTAATTTGCTTTCAAATCCCTTTCAGACAACGTTTTTTGGGTTCTAAAAAAAATAACCGATTTTTTTTTGCTCAGACTATTACTTCTGGGTGTTAACATATTAGCGTAATTTATTTAAGAAGCATTTGCATTTTGTATCGTAGACATAAATATGATAGTAGAAGAGGATGTCCCTGGTAATGCATAAACATAGAAAATCACATGTTTGGTATGTGTTGAATTCATCCCTCCAATGATTGCTACAGAATGACACTGAATTAATAGCGTTTTCTTATTATAGGTACAAGCTGATCTTTTAATTCCATATTTGTTTGGTCTGTTTGTTACCTTGATTTTATTAGTGGTTGTTATAGTTAGCAATAAGTTGTATGCATTTTTCTTTTTTTAACCATCCTCATTTTAACATAGTCTACTATGGCCTATTTATTTTTTACATAACTCGTCGAGTAGATAATTATTTTTGATTTGCATAATATTGATCACTCTGGATAGCAGATTTTTGTTAATGGTTGATATTTGCAAAGTTTTGTGTCAAGGCTGTAATTTTTTTCACTTGCAATATAGAACAAGATAGCAACACAGATTTTTGTAAGTACAAAATTCACAATGCAATTAACCAATCATGACAGACGATAAATATTTTTTTTTTTTTTTCTGACCATCGCACGAATAATTCATTACTTTATATTATATTATTTTGGGGTGCCGCTGCTGCAGTGCAATTAATCACTTTGCCAATTGGGAGTGTGGTAGGTGGCGGGTGACTAGGAAGATGTGACAACCATTCATATCAATTAACGCTTACCCTTAAATGGAAAAAACATATGTCCCATAATAACTGACCAGTGACCACCACACTCAGGGATAGCTTGCATGTGTATTGTGGATCTCTTGGGTTAAAAATTTTGGGTTACTCTCTTCATAAATATGTAAAAAAATTTAATAAGATCTCACTTAATGTATAAAACACATAAATTTTCACATGGTTTGAAATTTTAAGACCAGATTTTCATATGCATACAACATGTATAAGGTTTGCTGTCCCTCTGTCCCTTGGCATATATAATCAATCTTGACCAGGGATCACTTTGTGCAGCGACAGAAACGTGGTGAGCTCTTCGCCAAGGAAAATGAAAGGTGCCCTCGCTTGTCCTATTAGTATTAAATAATAATAAAATAATAATAATAAACAATAACAAGGATTTTATTTTATTTACACCATTGTATAAAAAAACAAAATTCATTAAATGCTCCATCAATTATTTTTTATTTTTAAAATTATCTTTTTATCGTTATCTAAAAAATAAATATTCAGTTTGTGTGGATTAAAGGAGATACACATATCAATGAAAGAAAAATAGAGTTTGTGAATATATAGATGTGTTGTCAATTACATATCAATTTTAAGCATTATATATAAATGTCCAAAACCCAAATTCTACGGATAGGTTCATGTACATATATATAACAAAATCAACATGTAAAAGATGTTCTATTTTTGCTCTTTTGAAAAAGAAAAAAGGAAAAAACTAAATTTTTTTATTATAAACATATATTATCTATGTTAAAAACTAAAAAGATTTATTATAAACATAGTATAAAAGATGTTCTATTTTTGGAAAAATATGCTTCCCCCAATTCCTTACTTCTTTAAAAATTTCCTCCCACTTCCTTCTCCTTTACTATTTTTGAAATAGGACCATGTGTATGGGACCACTAAAAATTCCCTCTTTTGATGAATACAATACTTAATGCTACATCATTAGTATGGCGTGCATGACTTCGTGCCACATCATTAATCTCACATCTAACTAGCATGGGACAA